GTCTTGTCCGGGAGTTACCGTGGCTGTACGTCTTTGCCGCGTCACGGCCGGAGCCTCACATCCTGTCGGTGCTTTCAAACCCCAGCTCAGCCGATGTTGTACACCATATACGACTGGAGGACACGGCTAACAGTCACGATGATGTTGGACGTTACCTCGAGGAGACTTTACCGAAGATACCGTCATACGGCGATTACCTCGAGAAGCACCCGGACGCCCTTGAACGCCTCATCTCGCGTGCGGCCGGCGTATTCATCTTCGCTCGCATCACCGTGAACTTCTTAGACGAGCATCATAGTCATCCGGAGGAATGGTTTGAACTTCTCCTCTCAGGCGGGAGTCCAGCAGCAATGCCCCTCAATGCGCTGTATCTGCAAATCCTACGGTCCGCATTTCCCCCCGAAGACTTGCGCGCCTTACCTTCTGAACACAAGCGTCTCCGCTCCCTCCTGCGTTTTGTTGCCCTAGAAACCGAGTCAATAACTTCTGAGACCATTGCGTTTTACGAACGCGATCTGTCAGCCAGCGACATCTCCGACATGGTGGACCGCCTGCGCTCCGTGTTGATGATCGACCAGGACGGGGATGTGGTGCCCCCCCACGCGTCGTTTGGCGAGTTCCTTGTGGATAAGCATCGGTGCAGTGACGCGCTCTACCATGTGGACAAGGCTGAAGGGCATGCTCATCTTGCATGTGCTTGTCTAGCAGCTATGTCCTTTGAAAATTACATATATCGCCTTCGAAAACCGGACCTGCCGCCCCAGCTTGCACATGTCAACTTTGGCATAATGGTAACCTGCTGGCGGAGGCATGTTAGGCAAGCCGCATATACCGTGGAGTTGGAGGAGCAACTATCTCAGTTCGTGCAAGATGTCCGACTGGCCTTGCAAATATGGCACCACGGAGGACTTTGGTCTAGTTTCAGCAGGTATTCTGTGCAGAATGTATGGGACTATCTCCAGGTGGGTGGTTAGGTACTTCTCTCGTTCTGTATATGTCCGTTATATGCTGGTGTCATATTTATTGACTATTTATGCTGCAGCCCTCCGGAACCAGGAAAGCAATATGCTCCGAGTTCATCAAATTCGGTACTTATATCAAGCTATGGGAGCTCGGCGTAGTCACATCTCCAACTTATGCTCCACCACAAATCACCTCGGACGACATATCTCGGGCGATCCGAAAGCTTCCTCGTGAATACCAGAAGTTGCTTCCTAGCCTGGACCTCACAGTCGATAACAGCCGCTTGGCACGATATGAGGCCATCATGGCGGGTTTGATGACGGAGATAAACCGAGATGAAGCGACCAGGACGCTGTGGTCCAAATATTACTTTGTGCATGGGGAACTTTTTCGTTCGGACCTCGGTCGCTCTCAACCCAGCACGCGACCCCGTATGCTACGGCAGCCCATAAGCCCCCGCACTCGCAGGCGATCAAGGACCCCTCGCGCGCCCTCTGCCAACTCCGAACCCACTGCACTTAGCGTAAGGGCTTTGGGGGAAGGGGGAAAGAGTGCTGGGACTTGTTAGCTATACACTGGCACACTTCTTATTGTTTATATTCCTCCGCTGCTATTATTACACTCCCCAGTATGGTTGCATCGTTCGATGGCGTTCAGCTAGTATAAAAGAGCTTTGGCCTTGTCCTTCCTAACCTAGCGCCCCATAAGGTGCGTCGTCGAATACCGGCGCGTCGTAGGAGTCGACCTTGAGCGTTCCGACCAAGACATCCATCTCTTGCTCGCATGCATGCTTTGATAGCTCCCGGATATCCTCGGCCTCCTCGGGTGTCATTGACGATACGTAACTCTCGCCTTGAACACCTTCTCCACGACTACATCAGCAAAACCGCCAGCTCTTGGGAGGCAGCTTGGTATTGAGCAGCGGGCTTGGGCTTGACCATTCGGGCTTGGGGCGTCTTGGGCTTAAGCTCTCTGGCTTGGGTCAGTGTTGGTCTTGGGAATCGGCAGTATAGTCCTTCATCACTGCTTAAACTTTCAGACATAATCTTGTGCATTGTCTGGTGACAAATTCAATGTTTTCGTGACTACGGGCGATGGGAGGCAGCCTACCAGCAGCAGGACACACGAACACATACGGCGCTTATACATTGGGCACATGTTCTGCGCAAAATACCTACCTTCAGCACAATTATGCCCAGACGGAGTATTTTCTAGCGTCAACATTGGCACCTAATGTCTGCCCTAGGCGTCCGAAAGGCTCAAAACCCACCCAGTTCTAATCTTAAAAAGGATTTGTTCAAGCGCCCAACGGTAAGCGTTCAACTTTCCGTGGTCTGTTAACTGATTTAAAGGGAACCGGCAACCGTCTACACACCTCTTACAGACCCAAAAAAACAGTCAACCCAATACATTCTATTCTATGTGGATATAATCAAAAGGCTATTGTGTGTGCGTGGTGATCAGCATATTTGTTGACATAAAATGCCCGAAACATGTCGAGGGCGCGATAATGTTGGAGTGTCCGTGGGATAGAATCATGACCTGCGGCACCTACGAGATGCGCCGCGCGCAACATGGTATCCAAGTGAATTACCTGTAGGACAGGCTTACCCCGAGGATCCATGTCCGGCTCAACAACCCACATCCCAGTATTCTCATCAGGCTTGTCGTCCGCTGGCACAAACCAGTGCACAAGGGCACACGGGTACTCGACTTCCTGATAAGTGAACGAGAAGAGGAGCATAACTCGAACAACATCCAAGCCACGAAAGCCCGGAAGAGAGCTGTCCTTCACTACAAATGCACAGTCACGCCGCGGGCCTTCATTTCGCCACTGTCGGACACAGCGGATCCTCTCGCGGCGCATACCCTTAG